GGGGGGGGGGGTCCTGAACGTTTTTTTTAAATGCATTGTTTGGCTTTATGTATTTTACCTGCTTGGCTCAGCTAAATTGGCTAAGTAATGTATAATCAGAATTTTAGAACTTTAAAATTCCGTAGTTACAGTACTACTGTGAGTAGAATCTTGAAATTGTTGTAATAAGGGCTGACAGTTTTATAAAGGACATTCCTTTTTCAATTTTTCTCAATGAATCAGCAAGAATCTCAGTTGGCTTTGCCATTTTATGTGTATAAATCAACCCCTATAGGTGTGAAATGGGGTCCAGATATGAGCCTCCAGTAATCGTGATGATGTAATTTAAATTCCATACCCAGTCTGAAGGTAACCTTGTTTGAACACGCCTATGGTTACACAGGTGATAAGGCACATCCCATTGCTGGTGACATAATTAGAGTTTTATGTTAAATTTATGGGCTTTTTTTGAAATAATAAATATGAAATGGGAAGCACAGCGATTACTGAGTGTGTCCAACTTCTGATAGTGCTTACACATAAATAAAACACTATTTTCAGATCTGAAGTGGTTAAACTGATAAAACTGCTTCACTGTAGTCCTATTTGATACCTCCTCCTATTTAACTGTTTCACTTTGACCACCTCCTCCCCCCCCCCTCCTAACCCCAAAAGGAAAATGTTATAACATATAACAGAATGAGTAAAAGAGTGGTTGAAGAAAGAGAACTAATTAATTACTTGATGGAAATATGTAGAAATAGACCAAAAATATAGAAGCCCATTTTGCTATATTTAAAATACTTTTCACTGATTGTGAAATATTTTTTATCCCCTTTCCTAACTGAGATAATAGAAGAAGCCTCTATCAGAATCCCCAATGTAAATGTAAGCCTAAATTACTATGATAAATGAGGAAATTCTGACAGAACCACAACATCGATATCAGAGACTTTTTTCTAGAAAAATCTAGGACCATCTTCACAAATTGGATTCAATTCTTGAGCTTATATCTAATACTACTTAATAACTTTGATATCTGACTTGGTAAATTGTGCCTACTATATTTGTCCTTATATTTCACAAAATCCATATTAAAATCCATATAAAAATTTTGAGGAACAGACTACCAATTTGTACCTCACAAGTGAGGAAATAACCCACCAAAGAGCAACATGCCCTCTGTTCTAAATGTACTATATCAAAACAGTTAAAGCTCCATATCCGGGGCCCCACAACTAAACGATACCCCCTGCCCCTTAAGAGCCCCTCAACTATATCAGTGACCCCCTTATCAAAACCACTAATGTATTTCACAATAGTTGACATGAACCAGAGCAGCACCTTGGCCCTGCTTGTAAGGCTATGTGCATTCACACTGAAGAGACTGACTCCAAAGTTTTCTTTCACTCTAGTTTTGATGACACGTTTGGTGACCGAAATTATGCTGTCTCTGCACGCATGACGTAATGGCCAGCTTTCAAATCACCTGGCTATTAAAATTTCATTATTTGTTACATCACAGTGTCCTTACACATGTGTGATTTACTAAACAGTACAACACATCTGAAATAGAATGGACCTGAAGCATTGGATCCCCCGCATGTGTGAACACTGCATTTTTTCCCCTTTTTTTATGACCCACAACTAGTTCTTGTATCAGTCAGTCCATGCCACCATGGAGACATTTGAATTGCAAAGTGGACAGAAATAGATGTCGGCTTGTGCTGCTATGTGACAGATAGATGCTATTTGCATCTCAAGTATTAACCCCTTTTTGAGATATATATTTTTCCTACTTGATATGGAGAAACATTCATGTCTTTGCTGAACATTTAGAGATGGAACTAATGATTTTTTAAAAGACACTACCATTTTTGGATGTAAATTTTGAAAGAAGCAAACTTTGTAAGTCTGGTCCCTCCTGTTCTCTATATAACTGCAATTTAGGCTTATGCTGGTTTTAGAAATTTAATTCCCACAGATGTGAAAAGCAATTTCTTTTTGATGATGAAAAAGCAAACTATTTGACAATTTCAGCCATTTCATCATTGCTTAGATGATGGATTATTATAACAATTATCATTTTTTCTTGTTGGGAGGAGTGGAGTGAGTAACACATTGAATCTGCGGTTGCCACTCAATGAAAATATCCCTGGTGATTTTAAACATGCAATTCCTTTCCATATAAGAACCAAAAATAATTTGTTGTGAGCTAGCATTCCTCATCTACATTACAAAATGTATAACCAGCAGATTGACATCCATCTTACAGTCAGTGCCATTTTCCCTTTTTTTGAGCATATAACCTCTGCTCAAGTTCCTGGCTTTTAAAAAAAGTAATCTCCATAATAAAAATCCTAGATCCTTCCTCCTTTATTACTACATGATGTCAAACTTTGTCCTGTTCTTTTAATAAAAATGTGATTTTTCTCATTAATTTCATGCACCTTACATAAGTAATAGTGACAAATAAGATAATAAGGTGTGTGGAAATAGATTTTTTCTTGACACATTATACAAGCTGTTAAAATGTGGTGCAGGCATACTAGGATGACTATTTTTAAACCTCTTTTTTTTTGCACTTTTATATGGTGCAGGTGTACTAGAAGGACTTTTTTGAACCTTTTGTTTGTATTTTTTATGCATATAATATGCCACATAATAAATGGTTGAACTCAAAAGTGGGTAATGCACAGGCTTTCAATCACTGGTGAAATGTCTCCTCTCGTTATAAATCTGAAAACTCCTGCACTGAACACCATACACTAAACACACACAGAAAGATAACAGAATCAGTTCAAAACTGATACCAAGTGTCCTTGACCTTGCTAGTGTTCTGAGTTTGCAACCTGCAGGTAACTTGTTCCAACAAACGCGCACAACAAAAAATTATAGTGAGCAGATGAAACACCTGCAGGAGTTTGTTTACAAGCAGATCGTGTAACAGTTTTTTTTTAAAGAAAGAACAAAACATTTCGAATCGTGTCAATCCTAAATATTTCACCGATTCATGCCAAGAGGAATCATCACTAATCACTGCTGTCCAGAATACAGATTGCTCAGTACCCCGAGTCCTAAGTTTACTAAGACTGAATTATAATGCGTGTTGTGAAGAAGAGAATTGCCTTCAATCTGAAAATCAGGGTGGATACATGGTATTTGAAGTATAGGTAATATGTGTATCTAAAGACCAGTTTTTGGGAAAGTTGTGAAGGGGTTTTCCTGGCCCTTTAAGTTATTCTTATATTGTCATTGACAAGCATTTGGCCAGCTCAACACGTTATGGCATTTCATTTCATTCAAAACCATTAATTTACCCCCCCCCCCTCCCCAAGTGAAATATAAGTACATTGTCATTTGTTCTTGCTTGGGTCATTAGTGTTCTTATAGTATATAAATCAGATTCCCAAAATATAATTTCCAGTCTGCACAAGTAGCAGTGTTTTCTCCAGCCCATCAACTCTACAAAAAACACTGCGTAACATAAATATTCATATTCAACCCAGATCCCATTTCCCCATTTCATATTATTTTTGTCATGAATAACTGGGTAAAAATAGATATGTCTGAAGAACAACAAAGATGGTAATAATTTTTTCAATTATAAAATTTGTTTATTTATATCACTATGTACAACGACATCGTCTGATATTTACACAACAAATGTACAAGAGAACTATGTAAAATGTATTGCTGATCTTTGAACAAGATGAAGACAAGATATATGCTGGTCAAAACAACAGTGGGTGTGCACTTAGTTCAGTCAAAGCATGCCTTTCTCAACAAGAAGAGAAAGAGTATTTTATTTGCCTTCAGATTTCTGCCAAAAATAAACTGAGTAGGCTTAATGGGGGATTTCCGCAGTGGCATCGCCTCTCCTTTCTACAGCAGAGAAGTTATGGTTAACTCCTGCCTGCTCTCTGACGTCAATACAGGGCAAAGGGGCGTATAGAATTACCTTCTTTCCACCACATCTAAGGCTCTATTGAATCTATGCTCATTACCATGAATTACACCAAGGCATTGCCAAACAGTTTCTTACGGGTCTGCGGCTGCAAAAACATCACAAGAATAACAAAAAATTCCGGAAGTGACAAGATCACTTCTAAAGCTACCTTAAATAAGGTTAACTGAATTTTCTGTAACTTATTTTGACTAAGTGCAACCAAGAACTGTGTGAAACAGTATGTATACGTTGAATTGTACTTTTTTTTATCCTTCTTTGTCTGACAAAGATGATGTTTATCATTTAAATAAAGAAGTCAAAGCACCTGTAAATGTTCACTTTTTAACAGACAGATATACAAACACAATATACAGTATAACTATAGATTTGCGTGTTCTCTCACAGTGATAGAAATTTAGGCACCCCCACTGAATCTGAGTGCTCTAATGCTAATATGCAGTATATACAGTGAAGATGACATATGCACAATGGAGATTAAATATATATTTAACGTTAAACAATTTCAGTGTTCCTGAGTAACACAGAATCCTGATGACCCCTAGGTGACCTTGACCCGACCTTGATCAGTCCCCAAAGAACTAACAAGTCACTGTGTTAGGAGAGCGGTGGAATGTTCTTTTAGTCACATTATGATTTATTAAATTTGAGTAAAACGGTGGCAGTAGAGGGAGAGCATCTGTGACCGCATCAATGGAAATGATGGCGTAGGTGGTGATGATTTCAGCTCCCACTGGTGACTTTTTTTATTGATTGTCGCACGACTATGATGCTACAGCCTCCACATTGACGCTGTTGTAATTGGGGGATGGGCGGGGAGAGTCAAAGTACCTTTTGTACTGATGACAGCTGCATGCAATGTCGGAGTCGCACTTGCACCAGTCGGGACTCGTACTGAGGTGGCGCTCAAAGTCCAAGAGCTGACCCATGAAGTTAAAGTTCGGTGAAATGTTGGGCTTGCACTTCTTCACATAGTCGTAGGCATCATTGAGAGATAGATGGCAGCGCTGCATGAGGTAGGCGACAGTAACGGTGACAGACCTGCTGACTCCGGCCAAGCAATGGACAAGGACGCCACAGCCCTTTTCTCTGGCTTCATCTGAAATAACCAAAGGAACAGGAACATAAACATTGTGGTGGAAGTGGAGAAAAATAAAATCCAAGATACAATTGTTCTTGTTTTTCTAGCAAAGTATCAACAAATAGCACATGTACTTCATTGTTGTTATGTTTTGACTGAAAATAACCCATCACCACTCACAGTGGATAAACTGTATTGTGTGGTTCAATTTATCTGCGGTCAAAACAAAACCTTAATTCTACCCAATCACATTAAATCCCATGACCAAATTCATTTGGACCAAAAGACGTCAGAAGCATGGAAAACCCGATTGTTTAAATATTCCCCACGCGACTTTTTTTTCCTCTTTATCAAAACCACAGAATTCTACTCCCTTTTGATGCAGAGCTAAAGGAGTCCTCATTTCCATTATAGCCAACTGACACGAGTGTTAATAACCATTCAGAAACATGCACAGACTACAAAAGTGGCTGGAATTAAAATGGACCAGCATAAAACCAGGAAAATAGCTAGGCTGCCGGAAATCACTTAGTTGTAGTGCACTGTGAGAGCAAGAGAACCAAAACAACGAGTAATCAAACAGTTTGAGCTTTCAGCGCTATTTAATGGAATTTAACGCACGGCACGATTCCCCGCAAGCAACCTCAAAGTGCCCCATGTCTGATGTCACTGAAGGAGACCTAAACGAATCATCATTATCAACCTAAACCATTCACTTGGCGGTCCCGTGGGCATTCAAGCCAGCAAAACAAAAATCTAACTGAATTATTGAATGGGAAAAAAGGTTGAGCCAGGGAATAAATGGATTAACTAAACATCGAATTGTTCTGCAAATCGGATAGCTGCAGAATCCATGCACTTAAAATGTTGAAGTGCGTTTGCACCCATTTACATGGTCTAATTTGTGTTACTTAAAAAATCAAACCCAAATTATTGATGAAGTCCAATGAAAAAAAAAAGAAGAAGAAAATTATTACATTAACATAAATATCAATAATAAAAATGCTGCAAGACTTCTGAAAAGTACCATTTTTTCTATTTGGTACTTTCATCACCCACTGGTTCAGTTCATGTCTGCTGAAGAATGGATCCATTTTACTGAGTGTAAACCTTCCTTTCCTGCTGCTGCCCATCTTATGTTGAGAGTGATAAATGGGATAGGCCGTTTTAATAACAATAATAACCAAAGGGGATGATGATGATTACATCTCCTTAGAATTCCCATTTCCTGTTGTGGACTGCCCCAAACTGATTAAGTAAAGAACCAGCCTCAAAACTTAGATTTATATATATACTAGTGTGCTACAATGGCTAGGCTGGAGGATTCACAACTTTCAGTTGGTTTTCCAATTTCACAACTTGAAGAAGTGATATAATTACATAATTAACTAAATTTTAAAAAGGATGAGAGGCTTAAAACCTCCACCTGTGAGGCAAATAATCCAGTTTAGCACAGGATAAGAATGAGCTAGTTCTGGGAATTTTTAAGTTAATGACAGAATTCTAAAAAACTTAATGGCTAAATTAAGGATGTGACGTCAAATTGGTACAATATAACAGAAATAACAAGCTTCTAATTTTTGACAAATTTGAAGATTTGTGAAAAAAATTGGATTAGCAATGACAACTGCGAACTGCTCAGCAAAAGTGACGTTCAGAAACCATGCCACCAAAAGCCACTGCAATTCAATAGGCACTGTTATAAAGTCCATAAAGGTCTCAGTATTATCAAACAATTCACTGAAGAAGAAGTAATTTTTTCTCGAAGTCAGAGCTGGAGCGTGAACTGATGTGTATTCTACTCCCCTCACCCACACAACTCAAAACTATAGGCCGTGTTTTCATGTGTCATATCCATACACACAAACCGTTTTATCCAACCTACAAAATACCCTTTACATTAATATTGTGAGTTTCAACATGGGCTGTGAGCAAACACAAGCTTCCTTTACGCACTCTGCCATGCATTCAAATTGACCTAGCGGATGAATGGCCGCTTTACAAATTTGGTTTGCAAAGCCGAGATGAAAACCTTGTTTTTCCTCCCGCCTCAAGGGTCAAGGGGCAGGAAATGCATACTTGAGAGGCTGAAAGGCTTGCAGAATGGAGTTTATCAATGCCATACAATTTTGGCAGCCCTCTATATTGTTGCCCTCGGCACAGAGCTTCTCCACAATGTCCAGGTGGGTTCATTTAATACTAAAGAAATAAGATCCGGGTCAAACATCCCCCATCATCTTAACCTGTCACAAACTCTATGAAGATTAATATGATTACTAAGCAATTTTCAGTTGAATTTGGTGTTTGCTTTTTTTTTTTCATCATTCTTCTCACACCTGTTAGAGAACATTTCTAATCAAATATGTCTGTGGTATAACAAGTATTTTTTTTTTCCTTTTAAGAGGTAAAAATTTGTTTCAGTAAACTGACACATAGAATAGTTCTTGAATGATATCCAAATGAAAACCAGGCTTAAAAGAACTTTTTTGCCTCACATAAAAAAATGCCCAGAAAGTACTATGGGACTATGCCACATAACCCCAGCCTGTATTTCATCATTACATTTATATGGCAGTCGCGCACTTTATCCATTTAGGACGTTCTTTGGTTATGCATTGTTGCTTCGATTGTCCTTGGCCCTACTCTGCTATTCACCAAGATGGATGGTCTCTCGTTCTACTCTCTCTTCCAGCCGACAGCCTACATTAAGTATGTTCAGATGGATGTTCTTAAAAGTAAAATCCCTTTAGGTCCCAATTTCATCACACCAGATTAATTTGTGTGGTTTTGTATATTTGTGATGCAGGTAGCCATTTCTATATGCAGACAGCATGTCCCAATGGTTGTAAACATATACCATTTTGCCTTGTACATTTAATTTGATGGTACAGTGGTGACTTCATATAAACCCAAAATGGTTTTGAATTTGAGCTAGTCTAAATTCAGTATTAATCTACAGCTTTTATTAGTTTCCCTGTTTTTTTTACTGATAAAAGATTGCTGAAGGAAAAAAAAACTTTGTAACTAATATCCTAAAACAACAGAGCAGGTTCAAGTTTGTTGGCATTTTGTTTTCAACTTAAACAAGAGGAAGTGAGATTAAGCAGTTGTTTTTTAAGGAAAATTATTTAAGTGTTCACATGTGGAATACAACCTCCAACATCCAACTTGCTTCAAAACGTTCAAGTCTCCCTGAGAAACTCCAAAACAACCATTCACACAAGAAAGTAAATTGTGCCAGACGTAAAACCTCTGCCAATACATTACTTTCTTCCAGAACCTTCATCTGCATTTCATAAATGCAATAACTCCTTCCAAATCACGCCTGACTTAAAAGTCTGCACCTAACATGTGCCACTTGTTTTAACTGGGTAAAACACTACCAGATTTCTTCCCCTACTTCCCACGGCTGTAGACTCAAATCCTACAGGTGTGTAAAATCTTTATGCATAAGCCTCAACAGGGCCAAAGATGATTACACAACCAGCACTTGCCATGGATTTCTTACCTGCATTCCCCCCTGAGCACTGGTTCTTAAAGGACCACTCCAAAGAGGTATAATCAAGTTGTTACCTACTTGGAACCCTTTCCCCTCCATGTGCATAGAAGACCTACCTATCGCCGGCTATTATTAGGGGTCAAACAGTGACCAACTGTTCTCTCACTTAAACACCTATAATAATACCTGGAAGATCAGGGATTTCCTCCTACACAAAATTTTCAGTGCAGACTCAGCTGTAAGAAAGCCACGACATCATTATAACATCACCATACCATGTCGTGTAGGGATGATAATTGACTCGCCCACCTTCTTGGACGGATGAAATCAGTTTCAGCATATTCCACAGATATATTAGAGGCTGGCTTCACATCAGTTAACAGTAAACTTCTTATTTCTGTATTACCAGTATTTATCATTAGCTAAGACTTTATATTCATATATCAAATTTTTGTTCATTTTATGATCTAATGTTTGATAATGGATAAAGTAATGGGACAATGGAGTCACTTCCTACGTAATGGATCGCGGTTCGCGAGCTGCCAATCTTTATAAATGTGGGATCCCTTCAAAAGAAAAAGTTTTCAGGTTCCAGTACGGATTTCAGACGCCATCACGAAAAAAAGAAAACCCGTTACCCCTATCCTAATCTCCTAATCTTACCTGCCACACACAATATAACACAGATAAACATAGCTGCAACTTGCAGTTTGTTGGTGGGATGGGAGGTAAACATTGATATACTGATGGGAATTATATGCAATTGGGAGGGAGAGATGGCTTATGCTATTAGCAAGTGAGTTTGTGGGTATCAGAGAGAGAGAGAGAGAGAAAAGAACCAAATGAAAACACACTGCCCTATTTCTACTTTATGAAAGACTCCATTGCTCGAAAGTACTGATTTTGTTTTAAAAAAAAAACAGACATTAGCAACACTAAATAAACCTCAGCACTGATGTAATTGGCTTATGTCTTTCCATATTTGGACATCCTTATTATTCATAAGGAAGGAAGAATTAAGGGCTTCATGACTTAGTTCATCAGATTATCTTAGCAGTAATTAGTCTGCGGCATCCTGTAATTAAGCCTCCAGGAAGTTGCAGTACGTGCCAGCAATGCTGTGGAGAATTAAGGCCTTAAAAATACCTTTTTTATTAATTTTTCACACATAAATTAAGAAAAAAAGGCAATGGAAAAAGCTGATATTTTTTAATTAACATATAGCATATACAGGCTCAAATCCTTCATATACCATACCATTTTGAATGCAAAATAATAATAATAATAATAAATAAATGAAGAGCCCAGTCTATGGGGAATACTAAATATATCGGTTTTCCACACTTTTTTCTGACGTTCCACCTGTTGTGTCTGGGATAAATGTTTCCATGTTCTGATAAATCATTTTTAAATGGTTGTCTATCAAATATACTTACCAATGAAGGATATTGCTTCAGGGAAATAGACGGACAAATTCTGGGACCAATGGTCATTTATTGGGATCTGCTTGTACACAATATGTTCATCTTTCTCCCACATATTTGGCAGGTTAGGGGTGACATTCAGGATATATTGAATCCCGTGCTTCTTCAAGGCTTCCAAGTCGGCAGAATTCCTTGCGTTGCCAAGATAAAGATTGGGAATCACTTCGACAGGTAGCGCGTTGTGAAATGGGGTATCCAGCCCTGAGATTTCCCGCGTGCAATTGACATTGTCTCTATCAGACAGCGACAGGTTTCTAAGTCCCATAATAGTACTTGTCTCGTTGTCATCGACCCCCTCGCAAAGATCTGGGTACAGCTCTTCGAAGGACTGGAAGCCACCTAAAATTTAAATCCCAAAACATGACTCCTGGTAGCCAGGGAAAGGAAAAAATTATATCACCATGGAACTTAAGCTGCCACCTCTCAATCTGAACATTTAGCTCTGTTCCACTTTTTGCTGCCGTGTTGAATTACAGGTTATGGCAAAATCAATATAGCAATGCGCCATTCTTGCAAATATATTTTCTAAGACAGCAATATGCTGCAGTTGTACGCGTTTTTAATTTTCTCAATGGTTGTTCATCTTCAAAGCATTTTTTCTCGGATGGTAAACCGTTATTAAACAATTCAAATAATGAATATAATGATTCATCAATTAACTACCTCTACCCCCCCCCCCCCAAGTCTCCTGAGCCTGCGGCACCCGTTTGAATTGTTTAGAGACTATACACTGTTTTGACGGAAATAGATTATCTCGAACATAATAAAAAAATATGTCTCTTGGTCACAACCTGGCACACAATTTGATTTAAAAGAAGATCTCGCCTGCGGGGATCGAGTGACGTCCTAGTGGTTTATGACCCCTTCGCGAGGCAAATTTTATAAACACCGGAAACGTGCCGGCGCTGTGACCGCTGCGATAAGAAAGATCGGGTTTTCGCGTCAGCTATGGATTTTTAAAACGGAAATGTACTCCCAACATTCCAAAACACCCAGTTGACTTAAACACATGTTGACGTCTAGTCACATTGAACATATCAACGCAGCAACAGTCGCGTTGGAAATCTGGATTCCATTAGCGGTCCCTACGGTTAAAATTGGCAAGTTTAAAATACATAAAAAGTCGCGGAGCGGACGATTGTGAAATACCATGACGTAGACAAGGAAGACTTAACAGCAAATACTGAGGTCGCATGATAGCGATTTGAAATCTTAATGTCTCCGGTGATGAATTAGATAAGGCGGTAATGACAACCCACACGATTTTCAACTTACCTTGTAAAACCCGTACTTGGCAGCCGTCAACTTTAAGCTTCTTCACGAGTAAGTTAATAATACTGGTCGGATTAGCGTTCAAGTCTTTTGTGTTGTCGTCGTATAATACTATCGTGTGTGTTTTACATTTCTTGTTAAACTTCTCCTTTCCTTCATTGCACTGAATAACAGAGGAAACAGACAGGTTGCCCGATTTTAATCGCCGGAGCATTAACGTTGGGATGAACAGATTAATGGCCCCTTCGACGTGAGACTGAATAAAGTCATTCTGAGCTCTCAAGTCTAGCACCAGGGCTCCTTCCTCGCTGTTAAGTCGGCGTCCAAGCCATTCTGGCGTACAGTAGTCAGTCGCACTCATGTTGGCGTTGTCAATGTCGAGGGAAGGCATTGGAGGTGGAACAAATTTCGGTAGATTTTCGTGTTACTTGAGTCCTGGTTTAAACGACAGACTGATCGTCTTGTCGTCTCCGTATCGTCGTTTTCCTATTCCAGTTTATATCAGAATAAATATACTTCACGTAAATATAGCTTGGTGTCTTAACACTGGCTGGATCGGTCCGAAATTGTAGTCTTAAACACTGATTTTCTTCGGGAACGATCAAGTTCACTTCAGCCGTGTATATGTTGCCTGTAATGGCGCGAGCTTATACTCTTATACTCCAAGTGACGATTGACAGGCGGCTCCACCAATCGGAAGCGCCGGAATGGAACGACGTCATCCTCGTCATCAGCCGTATTTGGAAACATAATTGGATCTTCATTGAGCAATACTGTGTACCAGGGCGATTTAGGGGAGAACCTCAGGAACATGAAACTTTACCTAACTACGACACTACTGTATATAGTGGGTGACGCCGTAAAATTTTATTCAACGTGGGCAGTTTTGATGAACAACGAATTAGGTATTGAAATTAGACAGACGATGAAATTAAATTCTGTGAATCTGTAACAGTTGGCTCTTATTTATTTTACTTTGTATGAAATACAATTCACTTTCTACTATAGATTGATCAGTTATTAAGTCAAGTTGGCTATAAAGTGTTTTTTTATTTACATATCCATTTGAAACATTCAATAACCTTGAAATATGATCCTGTATGAAAATAGCCAAAGTAAAAAAATTCTTTGTCATCAGTTTTTGTTTGGTCAACATGTCGGGGGGGGCTGTCTCCTAGCACCAAGATAGGTATACAATAGCTTCAGGTGATGAAATCAGGATTTCACTGCTAGTGAAATAGATAATAAGGCAGTTGTCTTTCATATGAAGAATTTGACATCTCTAAGAGGAAAAAGTGGTTTTGATATCCTATTTGTTAGAAATCTAAAACTAAATTGTTAATAATTTATCAGCATTGCTTCTTTCTGTATTTTTATTTATTCATTCATTTATTTATTTATTGTGTGATATTGTCTATATTTCTCTTTTCATTTCACGACCTCATATCCTAATAAAATCACTGGCAGCAAACCAAAAGTTTTTGTTTTACAAAGCAATATCCCTATGTCTGTATACCTATATGAACTCATATTTTTTCCTACTGTACCCAGTATGTATGACTGTGCCCGCATATATTTCTCTTTCTCTTTGTAGTGTAATATATATATATATATATATATATATATATATATATTTTTTTTTTTTCCTTTGAAGTATGTTAAACCCACCAACTATTTCTCTCTTGCTTTTACAGCTCTCCCATAGATTGACATGTGATGGTGGGAGTACAACAAAATCAATATATGCTTTAATTATGACAAGGTGTAACATTCAACCTACTTTACCTATGGAAAAGGTGCAAAGAGGGAAGTAATTAACAGGCCACCTTTATGATTTATAATGATTGAGAGATGTGAGAACGTGTTGGTGATTAGTGATCAAAATTATGAATCGTGTACGCTGTACAGTGGGGGTTTTGTATTGAAAATAATGGATTTTCTTTGAAATGACACAGTAAGCAATTATGTTTGAAATGATGAAGTGGTTTTCATTTGACACATTTACTTAATGGATCTGCTAAAATTATATGATCAGATTAAGTGAATTCTGTCACTAATTTTTTTTTTCAACTTAAAAAAAATTTTCCTAGCCAGAAAAATAGAGAAAAGAGAAAGAAAAAAGTCATCTCTTGAGAAAGATGAAAATTTAATTTGATTGGAAATAGGACCTTTTTTATGGATTTATGTCACAGGTGCTTTTGGTATGCTTTAAAATACTAGAGGATTATACCAACAGAATTAATTTTCAAAGTCATCTAGCTGATAAAACTTCTAAGTTCCATGTTCTATAACATTCGATTTGTTAAAACTTCTACTTAATGTGCAAAAATAATAAATAAATAAATAAAGATTGAGAAAACCACACAAAGAACCCTTGTAAGCTAAAAAGGTTAAAATTACAAAAAAAATCCCCCCCCCCCTCCAACTTTCACCACCTTTCACCACCGTCAATTACTGGCTTGTAATAATGTAATAATATTGATTAGTCTAATATGGTTGTGACTGGCTTTGTAAATAAAGTCATACTTATATTTACCTTGGCTATTTTCCAAACCGCAAGAGGACAGAATGCAACATAGAAATCTTATGAAGGGATAGGGTGACTCTGAGTGTGCTATTGAAACGGTGCGATAATGCTTATCAATGAATAAACAGTGCAATATAACCCCAAAGAATACTGTGAATAATATGCCAATAAAGTTGGAGTGGCAGGCGTACATGGTTGCATAACGGTTTCACTATTCGTTGTCGTTTTACATGCCGTTACACCACCACATGGACAATTATAACAGCCTATATTGGAGCAAACTGTCAGAGAGAAAAAATAGGAAAGAACGCTCCTTGTGGTTTTGGTCCAGTGACTGTCATTGTTGAATTGGACATGTTATAGAGCATATTAAAGACCTGCAGTTTCAGTCAGAATTGAATCTGAATAAAACTTGAAATGGATTTTCTGTGAATATAATTTAAATCCATAAATTGATGATTATTACAGGATGACTTTATAGAATGTTAAATTTTTATGCAAATTCATGCCTGAGAGCTCTAAGCAAAAATAAACAAAAATATAACTGAAGTCATTAAGAAGCAAAATACCCATCACTAAAAATGGTCTTATTAGTCTGTATTATATCTCAGTCCTCATTTCTTATCTAATTTCCTGTGGTTTTTTACTTGTCAATTCCGTATTATTATTATTATTATTATTATTATTATTATATACTTGATAAAATTTGAGGACGCTTAAAATTTCATGTAGATTAGCAAGTAATTTGAACATCGATGTCTCTCCTTATGTTGTTAATTGGGTTAATATCATATTTGTTTTTTTTTTCCTACTCTTAAGATTGTGATCACACACAATAAACTCCCACTGAAAGATAAAACTCCTATCAGTTGGCTCCATGTCAAATAATTGACTGACTTCCTCATCTGTAAATTATGTCTGTTCTTACTTTAGTTTGACATTTATCAGCATAGTGAAGGGGCATCCTTTTCAATAAAAGGTAAATTGGGTGTATCCTTTACTGGAAATATCCATTTATAACATTGCCACATCCTTTGATTTGAGAATTATTTTGGCCCAGTTTCAATTTTTGCAGCTCTTATCCGTTCCAGAAAATTCATTGTTTCTTTTTATGTTTGGTTTGGTCATGTTTCATCTTTTTCAATATTTTCCATATTTTCTGTATTTTTATTTTTTTTTCAGCAGGGGAGAGAGAATTGCCAAGAAGCATAATGTGTGGCTTTTCCTTCACCCTTCTTTTTAAAAGGTGCATTAAAACCACCTGTAATGAAAAAAAAAGGGAAACAACACTTTAAATGAAATTTTACCTCCTTTTCAAATTATTTTCTTTAAAACAAACACTACTAAACAACCATATGTAGCCAGGCAGACACTAAACAGTGAGGCATGTCATGCAAATCTCTTAGACTAAAGTTCTATTTGAAGAAAACTGTCTACATTTTAAAACTTGCTGCTCTTCATGTAATACGTATACCAGTATTCTCCGCATGGCCTCCCATGTGTAACCAAAGACAATCACAGTTACTAGACTGATTAAGTGAAGGTCTTCTAATGGCTGTCTCCATCAATACAGTCATTTGTAAATTAAGCCCCACAATTGAAGCCATTCTAGATTTTATCTAAAAACTGTTACATTAATGAAGATGAAAATTTGTCCAGTTGTTAATTACTACAATGGTGGACCCAGAAAAGGGGGGGGGGGGAGGGGACAATTAAAAGAATGTGTTCCATGTGTTGTCCCTAAGTATATCCTTTATATCAAGGTAAACCAAATGAAACCAAGAGATTTTTTTCATTCCTGTGCCCCACATTTTACAGTTGGAGTATAATTTTTTTATCCTTGGGGTCTTCCAGTGCATTACCAGGTCATTTATTTAACTCAGCCTGAGCCAAAATAGACTTTTGATATAATTTACAAATAAGGGCAGAATATTCTACAGCACGCTGGCCCACACCTTTCTAGAACAAATGCTAAATAAAGTTACATAAACCTTATTGTGATTATCAGAAACCATTTCCGCTGCAATTCGTCTGTATTAATGCATTTTGCATCATCCCAGGTAGAGAGCGATGATGGTACATTACCATAGTAACGCCTACACAGGAAGTAGCTGTCATTAAGAGGCATTCCCTGAATAACTGTGTAAGAATTAACCTGTGCTTTTCGCTGTCTGTCTATTTCATAGGTGTGATGAGTTCACTGCTTCATAATACTTAATACATCGGGATGCAATAAATTTAGAAAGTCAAGCCATTTTTTATGATGAAGTAGTGCAGAAATGTTAATTGATGAACTCTGTGTGTGTGTGTGAGTGCATGTGTCTTTGTTCATACATCCTAATATATGTAGGCAATCCAATGCCTCATCGTTTCTTCCATCTACATACCACATGATATATCTGATATTAAATCATGGAGCAAGGAATTGACTTAATTATTCATCTCAGTCCTTTTCTTGGTTTCCATCTATCCTGTCTGTCTGCGCCTGTCCATCTTTTTGCCTTTGCTGATCTTCATTGTCAAGGCTGTATACTTACAGTAGGGACCATTCCCAGACCCTATAGTACTAACTTTGGATTGATCTATCTCCAAGGGGATTCTTGCTAAATTGCAATCAACTTAAGTGGCTTAGATGTCTATCACATCTACTGAAGCTGCTAGAGGGTAATTAATTATAGTTTAGCTTTCAGTAGGCATACCAGACATCTAAGCCTCTGAAGCTAAAGGCAATTTAGTGAGAACCCCTTGGAGATGGATTGATCCTGTTAGATCAATCTAGGTATAGGAACCCAGTCTTAGGTTCAGGCAGACGAGGCCCTCCCTTGTTGGAAATTTTCCACAATTTTCTCACTGATGATAGTGACTGTCACTGAGGGGATGCCTCTTGTCTATTTACTCTTTCAGTGTATGTGTACAATTAAGTCTGGTAATTGTCTCACTGTACACTCACTGGTGTACTACAATCTTTCATTTTCTCTGTCTGACATATCCAACTGTCTATCCATCAGAATCATTGACAACGTTTAATTTTTCTGTTCACGAAAAAAAAAAATCCACCCATCCTCCCACGTACCCTACCCCCATATCACTTACCAAATTTCCAGGGGGCTTTGATACTC